GAAAGAGCAGATTTGAGCTGGCCCTGAGGCATGGAGGGTGACTACCGTGTGAGGATGCCGGCTCCCACATGGCCCACCAGAGTTAGTATCCTGGACCTGGTGGTTAGAAATACGAACCAAGCACACGTAGATGCCCAGGGTCTTAATGGGATAGAGAACTGGGCAACAGGCTTGTGGCGTGACCAGACCCTGTGAGGGAGTGCTTTCTCTCTCATGGTCTCTGTCTCATATGCACGGCCATGCATGTCCACATATGTGCACCCCCTGGCCAAAAGAAGAAAATTACACAGTCATACGGGATGAAAAGCAAGTCCCATGGTTTCAATGACCAGACCATTTACATTGGGGGCAAATATTTAAAACTCCCGAGCAATGTTCTTGGTGGCCTTTCTACCCAGACTCTGTTCAGTCACAAAATGCTCAGACGTCAGCATGCTCCACTTGCTTGGCGAATCACTCAGTAATAGCAGAGGGAGAAATGACAGAGAGGACAGATTTAGAAAACAGGGTGACACTTGGACCAACTTTTAGGGCCTCATACTGGAAGCTGAGCACTGCTCTGACAGAAGCACTGCTAGAAAAATTCAAATAAGCATGTGGTACTATGTAGCTAATATATATGCTCATAAATGGAGCACTTGGCATGGACTGGGCATTGGGCTGCCTGCACACTTCGTGTTAGATTTCATTCAATTCCACACGACTGCATGACAGGAGTGTAGCCATTATATCCACTCTACAAGTGATGGGACGGATTCAGAGCACACGGGTGACCGGACCGGGATCTCACGGCTAGCCTTGGAGCTGGGATTGAAACCCAACTGTTTTGGACTCTAGAACTGAAGATCACAACCTTGCTCCATAATATACATATCTACAAAAACCTCCATTATTGATAAAGCACTTATTAATAGTTTAATTCCGTTCTAATCACATAGATGCTTCTTTTGAAGGAATTTTACGTAGAAAACAAGCTGATTGCAAATAAGATCTGATTAATTTTATTTGTAACTTTTGGTTTGTATTTCAGCTAGATCTAAAAAGCAGTTGCAGGCCTTTTTAATGAAACCTAAATATGCAATAACATTTAAGATAACCGTTAAAACCTTGGAAAAATAAGAATTGAGGAAGAAAAATATATCTTCTAAGTGAAAACCATATCATGACCGAGCCTAAACTTACAGATAACCACAGCAAAAAGCTACACAATGTGTAATCTTCATCATCTGATAGAAGGAAACATTCCGTTTGTAGGAGAGACAAACATGTTCTTAGAATCGAAAACAGCCATTCAATGTCGGCAGTCACTGAGCAAACACGGCAGATAAACATCTGGCCCGGAACACTCCCTGGAGCAGCCCTTCCCAGGAACTGTGTTTTGGGAGCTAAGTTGGCCCATGAGCCCAGAAGGCACTTTGAAGACAGGGTAAAGGACAGAGGTTTGAGGATTTCAGCAAATTTCTAACCCATTCCCCCAATGCCTCTGTGACCTGGGGCCTGGATTTTTCTTGCAAGGGCCTAGAGCAATGTGGTGACCGTTTGTGACAGTGGGAACGTTTCCTGTAATATTCGCGGATGTGGCGCCACCATTTACAGAAAGACTTTTTTTTTTCATTGCTCTTACAAGCAAAATCGTTTGAAAAATGGCAGGTGTGTATATTTAGTTCTTGATTAAAAATTGATTATTTGCCAGTTAATAAAGATTACATAACACTATTATATTAGTAAAAGATTTGGCAAGCATTTACGGCAGGGTTCCACACCACTGCCTGTGGGCAGATCCAGACCACCAACTGTTCTCTAAATCGAGTTTTTGTGCTGCACACATCTGTTTACTGCCGCGGCTGCTTCAATGGCAGAACTGAGTAGTCACAACAGAAACCCCGCAGCCACAGAACTGAGAGTACTTACCCTGCCCTTCACAAGGCTGGCTCCTGCTGAGTAAAGTACGAGGCACTGTGCTCGTGGTTTTGCGTAGCTCATCTCATTTTGTGGCCACCCACTGAAGTAGCTGCGGCTGTTACCCTACTTCTGCAGTGGAGAAGATTGAAAAATGTTTGTCAGGAGGATGATAATCAGTGGGAAAAAAATAGCTCCTTTAAGACATTACTGTTTAAGTTATCCTTGAAAATTTTAGAAGTCTCTTGAAATCTTTTTAGTTTTTAAAACATTTTTTAAAACATGAACAGCTCATTTCTGGGACCCTTCCCTCCAGGTGGGCTCAGGGCTCAGGAGGTCTCCTTTAATCTATCATCTGCCTTGGCCCACCCTGAGGCAAACCTGCTCCTGACAAGCCAACTCACAGACCGTGCATAGGCCACCCACATCAGACCAACCCAGAGCACTTAGAGCACAGCTGTGCGCACTCTCGAGTATAAACGTAGTGATAATTCAGATCTGCCGAATCAGGATTCCTCCTGGGATCCCCAGTTTTGATAAGCTCCCAAGAAGATTCCTGGATACATTATATTTAAGCACCATCAGTTTTAGGGTTTCTCAGGAGGGGAAAAAAAATCTGCATTTAGAGAGTAGCACATGGTATTTTCTATTTCTCCTTACACTGGGCCTCAGCACTTTATGCAATGTTCGACCTCCTGTCAAAAATATTAATCATCTGGTTAATGCCCTCCTCCCTAATCTCTCCTTTGTTGATGCCTTTATAACCATTTTTTAAAAACTATGCTTTTTTAGAAAACATGTTTTTTCTTGTCAATGACCAAATATGTCACATTTGTTCTATAGAGAAAAATAAAGATATTTTAAAAATAAAATACTAAGACCATCATATGTAATTAAACTTTAAGTACTTATTTCAAATAATGAGGATTTTAAAAGCTTTGCCCAGAAGGAACCCAGCAGCCACTGTAGTAAGTACGGCACAGGAAGCCTCTCCATCCTGGGGCTGTCACTGTTTCCCGGAATGGAACGTGTGGGGGTCAAACAGGACACGCTCTCTTGCCCACTCTGCCCTATTACCAGGCCATGGATAAACAAAGTTTCAGAAAATGCTCCTCGGGTTAAATTCTACTTAATCTAGTTCAGATGCAAAATGAGACTTATGCAGAGGTGTATCAGGGAAAATATCTGTGTGCTTGGAGGCAGGAAGAGAACAGGTCAAGGCTGCAAGTATGACTCTGAGTAAAGGAGAGACAGACCTGGGCAGAGGCTTCCTCAACTGCACAGCAGATGCAGCAGAGCCTTGGGATGCCTTAGGCTGGCAGAGGAGCCCCGAGACGCTCTGCCTTGCTCAGTAGCTAGTGGGGAGCAGTTCCTGGGAGCAGCTGAGTCAAGCCTCAGCACAGCACAGAAGTATGCCCCAAGGGATGGCCCTGAGTCCATTTTACGGGGCGACTCCATTTGGTTAAACCCTTCTCACCGAGAATCGGCGCCATTTCAAGGAGGTGAGCTGATCACGTAGAAGGTCATAAGACTGTCACCCCACTGGGGCTGACCAATGAGAAAAAAGAAATACCAGAGACCTAAAGTAACTTTCTTGCCCAACTTAACAGTCTGGCGACCAATCAGTAAAAGACAACTATGCTTCTTGTAATCTACAGCCCATGTATAGTTGCCTGAGTGCATTCCTCAGCACCCCTCGACACCCTCCACCCCCCAACAGCCATACAAAAATCAGCCCAATTGCAGCTCTGACTCCAATCTGCTATGTCGGTAATGAGTGAAAGTCCTGGCTCGAGCCCGAATAAAAGTGACCCTTGTGTGCTTGCATCAGAATCAGCCCCTTGGTTGGTGGTCTTTTGAGAATTTCACAACAGGGCACAACAGCCCATGGTCAGCTGCTCCCATGGTCGGAGAGCCGTGAAATGCATGCTTGTGACTGTCATGGGTTCAGAACCTTGCTTTTGCATTTTTTCATCAAGAAAATACTGATAGTAGGAGATTTTGATCTTTAGTGTGATGCTGTTAATAAAGACACTTTAGGCAAATTAAATGTAGCAGCATCCATGTGAGTGAAGAAACAATCCAGGAATTGGGAAGCACCTTGAGTCCCTGAAGGTTCAGGGAACTCCATCCAGCAATGCAATGCAGCCATTAAAAAAAAAAAAAAAAAAATCAGTAACATCAAGAAACAGCCTGATTGGATACAGCCCGTGCCTTTGCCTTATTTTTTATATGTTCGTGCAGTTTGCAGCCTGTGATTGGCTGAAAGCTAAGCTGCTATAATTGGTGGAGACACAAAAGTAGGTTGCAAACAAACATGAAATTAGGTTACAATTTGCTATATATGCTGGCAGATAATTAATGTAGCAGTGCAATCATAGAAATTATACATGTAAGCAAGGGGTCACTATGAATCATTGGATCATTTTGGTATGGAAGGGGTTAAACATAAGCTCTCAGATGAGAGAGCAGAGCCTCAGCACTGCCCGGGGTCACAGGGTGTCAGGTCACCCGCACACAGGCCAGCACCCTTCTGTCACCAGCCCGAGCCAACCAGTGCAAGTTCTGGTGGCCCTGCTGCAGGGATGGGAGGAGTATGTCAAAGACTCATTCATCTGTATGTGTTACGCATTCAGCAAAAGCACTTTAATTATAATTCATCAAATAATTGCATCTTCAGATCTCTCTATTACTATCAGTAGCTGACCAGTAGAAATTAAACTATTCTAAAAGAGCAGCAATTTCTCTTGACGCTGAGAAATTTCAAGTTGTAGCAACCTAGATAAAATACAAAAATCCACTAGATGTTAGAAACAGTTCAACTTTATTTAAGAACACAGTCAGCTGTGATGCTGCCAGGACCGTGCTTCATGGAGCGAGATGCCGAAGAAATTTTTATTTTCGTTTTTGCTTGTATCTGATGCCAAGATGGCTTGTAAGTAATCTAGACTTGACTTACAGGAGGTAAGCAAAAGCACTGTAATTGTGCTTATATAGAGGTGTGTATATATATATGGATATATATATAGAGAGAGAGAGAAAGAGAGGTGTGTATATACACACACACATACATAGAAGTGTATATACACACGCACACACATATATAGAGGTGCATATATACACACACACATATATGTAGAGGTGTGTATATATACACACACATGCATATATAGAGGTATATATATACATACACATATAGAAAAGTGTATATATATATATATATATATACACACACACAAACATATAGAGAGGTGTATATACACACACACACA